TGTGAATGGTTTCAGAACTCACAGAGTTAAAGAGTTCTGGTGACGTCTCTTTCCTGAGGCGTGGTTAGAAACACTTAAGGGAGGGGTTTGACTCCGTGTGTTTCAGTCTGACTTTCGGACGTGATGCGAAAGGGAGAATGTGTCAGTTCTCGCCAGGTCTGAATTTATGATGTTATTCTTCATGATTAAAAGGCAAGAGTAGATAAGGACTGCCTTGTGTCTGGACTGATTTATTCCACACGTGCTGCACTCTGCTTCTCACCGCTGTGTTTCGCTCTGCTACCGGCACGAGAGAGAGGCCTGAGGAGGACTTTTGCAGGAAGCACGGATAGCTTGCAGAGTTCCGCAACGGAAGCGTGCCGGGCTCCATGTTCAGTCTCTGTGTACCCTCTTGTCCGGTGTAAATAATTCCAACAGGTTATGGAAGCTCGCCAAAGCTTTGAAGCATTGCAGGAACGTCCCACGTGGGGGAAGCCAGCAGGAAAGTTGCTGGGGTCCAGCTGGAGCTCTGGAGCTGTGTCTTTGAAGCTGGAAGGAGCTCGCTGGGGAGAAGCGATCTGCCGGAGCCGGGAGGCGGAGAAAGCTACTGCCGGGAGACGTGAGTAAGCTTAGCCCAGGGGGAGGAGATGGCAGACGATCGTGAATCATTCTCAGTTCCCTTTGAGAAATTAAATGGACAAAATTGGGCCGAATGGAGCCGGAAGCTAAAGGCCTGGCTGGTAGCCAAGGGGTTGTGGGAGGCGACCCAGGGCCCCTCTCCCACCACCTGCAGCAGGAGCAGCAGCAGCGGACATAGCGGCTGCTCACGCGTCGCAGAGGAAAAACCAGAAAGCCCTGGGAGCTATAGTGCTCAGTTTGGAGGGTTCCCAACTTCCTCTGGTTGAAGGGCTTGAGACTGCTCAGGAGGCCTACCAAGCCCTTGAGAGGGTGCACCACAGAACCACGGCTGGTGCAAAGATCCACACCACCAGACGCTTATTTGAGATGAAGCTGCGTCCCGGTGGGAACATCAGACAGCATGTTACTGAGATGCTTTCTGTTTTCAATGAGTTGCGCCTGTTACAGGTCAACTTTTCAGAAGAGCTGAAGGTTTATATTTTGCTCAGCTCTCTGGACAAAAGTTATGACAATTTGTGTCTGTCTATGGAATCGATGAGTCCACAGGATTTGACGCTATCGTACGTGACAGGGCGTCTTTCGGACGAACAGGAGAGGCGTGTCCGAGAAGGCAGGTCTGGCGCAGGCAGCTCCACCGGTTGCAGAGGTGGGGGGCAAGCCAGATGAGAGCTGTGTTCAGGCTTTTTCCACTCGTCGATGTTATGTCTGTGGATCCAACAGCCATCTAAAACGGGCTTGTCCGCAGAAGAGCAGAGAGGCCGGGCAGGATGTCTCCAAGGTCAACCAGCTGAGTTCTCATGGGAACCAGTCTCGGAAAGGAGGCCAGCGTGGGAACGCGAAGGAGGGACGTGACTCAGAGAAGGGAGACTGTTATCATCTCGCGGCTTCTCTGGCAACTTTGAACAACAATGCCAGCAGGGACACAACTATGAAGTGGGTGCTGGACTCAGGAGCGAGTCATCACCTGATAACGCCATCTGCTGGGGAGCTGCAGAATTGCAGGGCTGTTTTAACTGGAATGACTTGTAAATTTGCTGACGGAAAAAAACGAAATGTATCTAAAGTGGCAAATGTCTATAATTCTGTTTTGCAGGCTGAGCTGGAGTGCTTCATTGTACCAGGGATGAAGTGTTGCCTGTTATCGGTTTCTGCTCTGGCGAAGCAGGGATACAAAATTTGTTTTGAAAATAACACCTGTTCCATTTTCAGAGGGGAGGCAACTTGTCAACGTGGAGAGCAAGGACAATCTCTTTGTTCTGGAAACACCTCTGGAGGGTGGTGGGAATGCAGGGAAAGCACAGGCGCAGTGTGCTAGTGTTCCCAGCCATGATTCATGTGTTCATGTATGGCACAAGAGAATGTCTCATGCTTGTCTGGAGGATGTTAAGAGGCTGCCAGGCTGCACCGAAGGATGTAAAATCACACCATGTGAGGGATCCCTAGTGTGCAGGGCATGCAGCAAGGTTCAAAGGTGCAGGTTTCCCGGGGTAAAGAGGGTAACCACAAAACCTTTGAGTTGATTCACACAGATCTGTCAGGACCCATGAGGTGTGAGAGTCTGGGTGGGGCCAAGTATGTGCTATCGCTGACAGATGACCACAGCCAGGTTGGCTGGTGTTTCTCTCTCAAATCACAGGGGGAGGCGGCGCAACTGATCCAGGATTGGGTTGCGGAGGTGGAACGAAGGTTTTCCACCAGGGTGCAAGGGTTCAAGAGCGACCGAGGGTCACAGTTTACTGGGTCTGCTCTGGAGGAGTTTTTCAAGGAAAAAGGAATACGTCACCACGTGACGGGTGCAAAGTCTCCTCAAGGGAGAGGCGTGGCACAGCACAGGAGTGAAACACTGGCTGAAGCTGTCAGAGTTTTGCTGGGTGACTCTGGGCTGCCTCAGAGCTTTTGGAGTGAAGCTTGGAAAGCTGCCAACTTTGTTTTTAACAGGTCCTACAATCACGATGTAGGTGACACACCGTATTTTCTGTTGCACAAGAGGAAGCCACAGGTGCATTTCTTCCGTTCGTTTGGTTCCAAGGCTTCAGTGCCAATACCAACAGCGCAACGGAAGAAGGATGGTCCTAGGTACCAGGACATGATCTTCTGTGGGTATGATCCTGCAACAAATGGGTGGAAGTTTGCATACCCAGAGGGTGATCAGACCACGCTGCTGGTCAGCAAGCATGCTGAGTTCTTTGAGCAGGATGGTTGGTCACAGCCTAGGTATGGTTCTGATTTTCTCTCAGACTGCTTGTCCGATTCTGAGGGGAGGAAAAGGAGGAAGAAAGGGAGGAAGGAGAGGCAGAGGCGGAGCCTGTTGCTGAAGACCAGGTTGCTGATGATGGTCAAGCACAGGGTGGGTTTCTCCACAGGTTAAGAGGGAACCCAAGAGTGAGCCTTCATCTCCTGTTAGCCAAGTGCAGGAAGCCCGAAGACGCAGCAAGTCAGAGGGGAGTCTTCTGAGCTTGCGGAGACACACTTGCTGACCCCAGTGGGTCAGGAGGAGCGCCTGAGGTTGTGCTCCGGCGGTCAGCTCGGACCACAAAGGGGATTCCACCGGAGAGGTTTCAGGTCACCAGTGCGTGGGTTGGTTTCGCACAGTGTGATTCTGGGAGTGTGGAAGGGATTCAACAATTGCCTGGGATGGATGCCAGTGGGAGGCAAAAGGCAATGGGAGGTGAGTTGAACTCAAAGAGGTCTGTAAATAGGGGTTCACAGTTTCCCCTCAGGATTCGTGACGAGAGGGGGTGTGAATGGTTTCAGAACTCACAGAGTTAAAGAGTTCTGGTGACGTCTCTTTCCTGAGGCGTGGTTAGAAACACTTAAGGGAGGGGTTTGACTCCGTGTGTTTCAGTCTGACTTTCGGACGTGATGCGAAAGGGAGAATGTGTCAGTTCTCGCCAGGTCTGAATTTATGATGTTATTCTTCATGATTAAAAGGCAAGAGTAGATAAGGACTGCCTTGTGTCTGGACTGATTTATTCCACACGTGCTGCACTCTGCTTCTCACCGCTGTGTTTCGCTCTGCTACCGGCAAGAGAAAGAGGCCTGAGGAGGACTTTTGCAGGAGGCACGGATAGCTTGCAGAGTTCCGCAACGGAAGCGTGCCGGGCTCCATGTTCAGTCTCTGTGTACCCTCTTGTCCGGTGTAAATAATTCCAACGTCTATTGCGTGTCTTCGGGGTCGGCTTGTTTAATTTTCATCTCTCTGTGTTCTGCTTCCATTTGGTTTACCAGTTCGTCCAGTTTCTTGTTCACACGTGTGTTCTCCTCCCGGTATTGCTCTATTATTCTTTCTTGCATTTGGTTCTTGTTCTCTAGAGCTTCCACTTTGGAGGTTAGATTGTTGATTAGTACCTGCATGGGAGCCATTGTGTCCTTCAGTGTTTCTTCTAAACGTGCTTCAAATCTTGCTTCAAATTCCATCAGATCTCGGTTCGTTATTGGGTGTTCGTCATCTTGAAGTGGAGTTAAAATCTTAGCATTTTTTGCCATCTCCATGGTTGGTGTAAAATCGGTCTACCTGATGGTTTTGGTTTGAGGGTGGCTTGGCGTCCTCTTGGGGTAGGGCGTGTGGTGGTTAGGAGTTGTGGCAGTGGTGATTCCTGGGTATTGTTGGGTTGCTGAGCTGATCAGGCTTTGTTGGCTGGTGGCTTCTACAGAGCGTTTGGATTAGGTGGTCATTTGTGTCACTTCTAGCCTGTGTTTTAAGAACTTCTCTAGGGCTTTTGTGGATGCCTCAGCGGTGCCGCCGAGGTGGGGGGGGGCAGGTAAGCAGAGATGGGTAGATTAACGGACAGACAGTTCATATAAAAGGAGGGAATTAGCAGGTAGAGATGCAAGAGATTAGAGGGGTGGGGTCAGGGGAAATATGTGTTTAGGAGGGGGTTGTATATGCCCAGAAGGGGTATTGGGGTCCAGTTAAGGTGGAAGTTGGGGTTGGGAGTGCGCTCAGAAACAGAGACAGACAAATAGGCTATATGTAAAGGGTGGAGGGAGAAAAAAGGGAAGAAGAAGAAGAAAGAAAGAAGAAGGGGGGAGGCGGGGGGGAGGGGGGGAGATTGGAGTAAAAGAGAAGAGAGAGAGAGGGACAAAAAGAGAGTTGAAAGAGCGGGGAGAGATAGTACAGTAATATCAGCGGTATTAGAATGCAGCAGTAGTTTTAGCTATAGTATGAGGGGGGCAAATTGTGATAGGGTGATATGAATGTGTGTATGTGTTTCCTTTAGGGGAAGGGGGGATGGAGAGAGGGAGGAGGGAGAGAAAGGAGAGGAGGAGGGGGAAGGGTGGGAAAAGGAAGGAGAAGAAAAGAGAGGGGGAGAGGGGAGGGAGGGAGGGTGAGCTGCTGCAATGGTATGGGGGAAAGTCTTATTTTAAAATAGGGGGTGGGGGGGAAAGGGCTCCCCTCTCAAAAACAAACTGATGAACAGGCTAAAAAGGGGGGGTTGATTTAAAAAAAAATTAAAGGGATAGAGAACAAAATTGGGGATGGGAAATGAAAGGTGGGATAAAAGGAAAAAATGAGGAGGGGTGAAGAGAGAGAGGGGAGAGAAAAAAGGGAGAGAAAAATAAAAAGGAGGGGAGTTGAGGGGGAGAGTATCAATAGCAATAGCAGTGATATGGAGGAAGTTTTTGTTTTAAAAGAGAGTGGTGGTCGTAGCTGGGGCGAAAGATTCCCCCCTCAAGAACAAGCCAACAAATAGAAAAGAAAGGGCTTTAAAAAGAGAAAGAGGGGAGAAAAAATAATAATTGTATGGTTTTGGTTTTTTTTGTTTTTTTTAAAAAATAATAATAATAATAATATTTTCCCCTAATTATTGTTATTATTTTTTGTTTGTAAAAAAGTAATTAAAAATGTACGGGTAAAATATAAAAATGAGAATTAAAGGTTAAAAAAAAAAGGGGGGGTTGTCTTTAGATAGATAGATAGATAGAGCTTTTTATTTTATTTTATTTTAAAAATGAGTAAAGTATAGGTAAAAGAGGATAGGTAAAAGAGAGTGGAAAGTCTGGGGCGAAGTGGCAGTCCCAGGAAATGGCCTGTGATGGTTCAGGGCTGTTTCCTGGGTACTGCCATTTTAGTTCTTAAGAGGGGAGTTTGAGGTGGAAATAAAATGAGGTTTGAATTCAGAGTGTGTGTGTGGAAAAGTGTGTCTTTAAATAGTGTGTAGAAAAGATAGCAATAAAAATAAAGATTCAAATAAAGGGTGGCTGCAGCAGCAGTGGCCCCTCTTTTAAAAAGAAAAGTGATAAAAGTAGGTATATGGGGGGGGAGGGATAAAAAAGATATATATATATATATTTTAAAGGGGGGAGGGAGGGGAGGAAGGGGTTAAAAAAAAAGGGGGTTAAAAAAAAAGGAAAAGAGAAGAAAGAAAGGGGGGGGGAAATCCCCTTTGTTATGCAGCTTCTCTGTGTTTTTTCCTTGCTGCTGGAGCTCCCGGTGGGGCTCAGCCACGTGTTTTTTTCCGGAGCCTCTTTTGCCTTCCCGTGCTCACCTACCTCTCCTCTGCTTTCTTGTCAGCAGAGATGGGGGCAGCAGCGGTAAGTTTGGGGCTCCTTTTTCTTTCTTTCTTTTCTTCTTCTTTCCCCCTTTTCTTTTCTCCCTCTCTGCGTTAG